TGCTTCTTCCTCTACCTCTGCCCCTCCCGCCTGCTCGTGCTCTCTCTTACACTTACTCTCTCTCTCTCAAATAAATAAAATCTAAGAACAAAACAAAACAGACCATGGAGATAATAGTCCTTACCTGCTCCCCCACATCAAGTCCTTTCAAAAGCTGAGATCAAAGCGGCGATATATAAAGATACAAGTTAAGCCAATGCCTACCTCAAAGGCAGCTACTACAGACTAAATAATGTGTCTACCATGACTGGCACCTGTCCTGGTACACAGCTGGCATCCACTCCCTTGGTATACCACAGAGCGGAGGATATTTTGGTCCAGTATTCCCCAAACATGCCTGCTCATGGGAATCACTGGCAGCATTTATAAAAAGCCAGGCCTCAGGGGCGCCAGGGTGGCTCAGTTGGTTGAGCCGCTGCCTTCGGCTCAGGTCATGATCCCGGCAGCCTGGGATCGAGTCCCACATCGGGCTCGGCAGGGAACCTGCTTCTCTCGCTGCCTCTGCCTGCCTCTCTGCCTGCTTGTGTGTACTCGCTTGCTCTCTCTCTCTCTCTGGCAAAAAAAAAAAAAATCTTAAAAAAAAAAAAAAAAAAAAAAAAGCCAGGCCTCAGGCCTTGGAAAGAATGATTCAGTAGGTGCAAAGAGAGGGCTGTTTCCAAGGAGCTATATGAGAGGCATCAAGAGTACCTGCCACCAGGGTCTGCCAGAGACCTGGGACCATGCTGAACGGGATGGAAGAGGGCGGAGACAAAAATGATGGAGCCCAGGGCGCCTGGGTGGCTCAGTGGGTTGGGCCTCTGCCTTCAGTTCAGGTCACAATCTCAGGGCCCTGGAATCGAGTCCTGCATTGGGCTCTCTGCTCAGCTGGGAGCCTGCTTCCTCCTCTCTCTCTCTGCCTGCCTCTCTGCCTACTTGTGATTTCTCTCTCTGTGTGTCAAATAAATAAATAAAGTCTTAAAAAAAAAAATGATGGAGCCCAGGCAGGGGTGACTAGAAAAGAAAAGTGACAGGAGGAAGCCACTTCTGTACAAATGAATACTGCCATCTTGGGTTCGCCCCAGCACGTCTGAGACTGTCTCTGACTTATCCTCACCCCAGAGGAGCAGGTCAGCTGAGTAGTGGTTCCTCCACCCACAGAGGCAACAGATCCCAAACCCTCTTCACACAGCCATTCCCTCAAACCAAGAAATACAGCGTGCACAGCATAGGCACACAAACAAAAGTCAAGCTAAGAAAAATCAGCAGAAAGCAATGTGGGGTGATTTGCAAATGGGTATGCCTGACCCCATAGAGACAGCTCTCTGGACACAGTAAAATTTTAGACAGAAAGTGTCTGCTGAAGCCATCCAAGCACTTACTTTCACGGCCACAGGGATGAGGTGATCTGGCTCAGGTCGGTGGGCACACGCTAAAGACTGAGACACGACTGCATTTGATCCAACCAGGTCAGCTTCAGGGAGGAGCAGCCTTTCTAGAAAGGACTGGTCAGCAAGACTTCCTTGAAACCCCCACCCCTTCTCCGGGGGTCTAAAGAGATCTCCCAGCCTCCCGACTGCCCCAGCTTCCGAAGAAGGCTGCAGGCGGGAGGCCTTAGCAAGTCTCCGGACACTGTCATTCTCCAGGAAGGCAGGATTGGCACGTGCTTTGTACACTTGGGCCACACAGCCTGAACCCACAGGTTCCTTCTTCTCAAAGCAGAGGACCTTCCCCCAGTCTTCCCCAAACGCCTGCCGCAGGAAGTGTTCTGTGTGAGTCCAAGGGTGGGGCGTCACCCGGACATGCAGCTTGGAGAACTGGGCACAGAAAGCCTCTGAGAAGAGATCACGCCGGGTGCTGGCCCATTGGCCCAGTTTGATGTAGGTTGGGCCTGAAGTCTCCGTGGCTTTCAGAAGCAGGTAGAGCCAGAAGCTGGAGATGCTGGGAGCCAGGTAGGTGAGGGGATAGAAGAGAAGGAGAGGGAAGAATTTCATCAAAAGAGCCCCAGCCCGGAGCCAGATGCGGAGGTGCAGAAAGAGGCCTCTGAGCCGCCCCTCTTGGGAGACTCTCTCCAGTGGTCCATTTTCAGCGAGGTCACTCCAGCTGGCTCTTCGCTGGCACACGCTCTCAGGGGCCCCCTCACCACTGTCCCCATAGGTCGAGATAAGTTTGGGTAAAGTACCGAGCAGAAGCCAACAGAGTCTGGCATTACGAGAGCACCCAGATGATCTTAAAAGGCCGAGTTCTTTTCTGAGCTCAAAACCCCTTAGGTGCGACAAGCAGACCCTGACGGAGAAGCGCCAGGGGGTCACCATCCTCTTCCAGAGGTCATCGGGCCTAGGCTGCCTGCCCTCGACTTAAAGGGCACCCATCTATGTTCACGCTTTAGGCAAGGCTGACACAAGTCCAGGGTCACAGCTGAGTATCCCACTTAAAAATGGGGTACCAGCGAGACCCCGCGCCGCTCAGACCCTGCGTGCAGACTAAGTGTGGGCAGGCTATGCGCAGTCTGGCTCTGCAGGGCGCGCCCCCTAGGCCGCGCAGCCCGGCCCCTCCGTCCCCGCTCCGCACCCCACTGCCTCCCCGTACCTCGCTTAGACCTAAGACCCGAGGCCGGCTGCGCCTTCGGGGGCTTTCAGAACCGCACCCACTATGACAGCGGAAGGAGCCCAGCCAGACGCCCGGCCAGGCCCAGAGCGGAGACGCGACCTGGCAGAGGAGAGGAGAGCCTGGCGACCGCAGGGTCACCCGAACCCGGGCGGGTGCCCGGGCACCCGCCGAGACCCAGAGCACAGAGAGGCTGGGCGGGGGTGGGGCTGGGGGTGGGGGTGGATGTGGGTGCGGAGGACCCGGGTGCCGGGAGCAGGAGGAAGGCGGAGGCAAGGGTGGTGCGGGGCAAGAAGGAAGGTACACCCGGGGCAAAGGGTTGAGGGCCGCGGCGTGGGGGAGGGGGCAGTGCGAACCGCCGAAGACCCGGGCACGGGGTACCGCGGTGGGGAAGAGCCAGGGGCGGGGAGATGAGGGGTGCAGAGATTCAAAGAGGAGGGTCCGAGGATCCGGACGCCGACAGCGGGAAGGGTGTGCGGAGGGCAGGCGATCGGAATGGAGAGAGCGGGGAGAGAGGGGTGGGGAGGGTGGGGAAGAGGGGCGCGGAGGGCCGGAGTCAGGCGGCCGCAGTCCGGCCGCGGTGAGCGGCGGAGGGCGCTCGGCCGGCCGGGGATCTGACGCGAAGGACGCGGGGGCCGAGTCTTCCGGGAGCGCCCGGCCCGCCCGCTCGGGCTCCGCCCCTTAAAGCGGAAGCGGCGCGGACACACTCAGAGGCTAACCTGGCCAAGGGGTCCTGGATTCCATAAATAGATTTAATGCCCTCCCCTTCCCCCGTGCCTGTGAGTCTCCACCGACATCTCTGTAGCTTTCCTTACAAAAGGCGTGGAAACGCTGAGACGCACGGTGAGCTGAAAGCCCGTCCTGCACATAGGCTGGGTTTTCAGCTAAGGAGAATGTGAGGAGGGACGGGGAGAAGTTACCCCTGGACCGGGAGTTCCAGGCAGCATTGATTTGGGGAATGTGTTTGGACCTTGAAGAGTGGCTCCTGAAAGACCATGCTTATTCGTTTAGCCAATACTTTTTGAGCCCGATACATATTTCTTAAGCAGAATCTATTATTATCAAGGCTTCATAATATTATTGAACTAAGTATCATGCTGGGCCCTGGGCCTTGGAGACACACAGAGACACACATTCTGCCCTTACAAGCTGATGACTCATGAGGGAGACCCCACAGGGGAACGCATAATGTGCCATTTCAGTGCGGCAAAAGCACGAAAGAAGTGAAGAATTGGGAGAACCCCCGAGGATGGCAGCTACTTTGGAGAGGAAGGGTGGGAGGGTATTCAGATGTGTAAAGAATAAAGCCCTCAAGTGGAAGGAGTTGAGTGTGAAGCATTGCGGGGAAGGGGTGTTGGTTTGTTTTAACCTTGAAGAACCAAAGGAAGGTCATATAGCTCTAAACAGCAAGGGAGAGAGAAACAGAGGTGATGGTGGGGGTAGTAGGGGCCATAGCCCCTGTTAGAGGTGGTGATGGTGGTGGTGTTGCTGATGGTAGTGGTGGGGAGAGGGGAGAGGAGCTCTAGTCACCCAAGCAGGTGACTGTAAGGGATTCCTGGGGCCCCCATGTGATTGTCAGTGAGGAGAATGATGTCATCCTTACTAAGGCACATGGGCAGCAAAATCACACCGTTTTATCAAATATGAACCCTAACCAGAATCTGTAAGGGCAGCCTTTAAAAATCACAGATGTTGGCCTGCAGTCAAGCTGCTTCTCACATGGGTCATTTTATGTAATCTGGTTCAGGATTAGTAACAGCACGAACAGACTCGATACACAAACAGACACTGGCAAGATACAGGACAGTAGAACTTGGACCCTCCGCCTGCCGGGGATAGTCAGGACTCCATCAATGACTGCCAACTTCTCTAATTTGCATCCCCCACTTCCATCTCAGGGCCAACCAGAGACAGCCAAATATCTTCTCCAAACCGATCACAGAGGATGCCCAGGCCTCCAGCTGCCTGGAGCCAACAACCTCCAAGCAGGGCACACCTGAATTCTTTTAGTTTCCTCTATAAATCTAGCATTTGAGTCTCCCCCGGTATTTGAGTCTCTGCCACGTGCAAGTGATGGTGGCTGACTTCCTTGCTATAGAAATCTCTGAATAAATAGCCTCTTTTTATTCTCACTTGGGTGGTCACCGTTTTTCTTCCATAGAAATTTTCTTCGCAGCTAAGCCTATAAATAGTTTCCAGTTCTTGGAGATGTTCCCGCTGTTGCTGTTAACCCCGGTACCACTAGGTGGCACCATTCTCTCGTGCAGCGCATCGACGCTCCCTCCGCGTCCCCAGAACCCGCGAAGAAGACTCGGGTGGGCGCGCAAAGGCCCCCCTGGCCGTGCTTATCTTTTCACAGGATCCAAGTGCCTGTGATTTTAGCATTTCCCACGTAATATTGTTACAGAGCAGATGCGATGCCGGGCAAGTACTTGTTCAAGACTCCCGGGGAAGGGGATAGAGATGGGCAACGGTGGCTCAGCAACCAGCGCTTGTCAGCCTCAGCACGATTCACATTTGGGGCAGGATAATTCTTTGGGGGGCGGGGGGCGAGGGGAGGCGAAGCTGAACTGTGTATTGCAGGATGTTTAGAAGCATCTCTGGCCTCTACCTCCTTGATGCCAGACACACACACCCCCACCCTTTTCAGACTATGACTTTATTTTTTTTTAATATTTTATTTATTTGACAGAGACAGATAACAAGTAGGCAGAGAGGCAGGCAGAGAGAGAGGGGGAAGCAGGCTCCCCGCTGAGCAGAGAGCCCAATGTGGGGCTCCATCCCAGGATCCTGGGATCATGACCTGAGCCGAAGGCAGAGGCTCCACCCACTGAGCCACCCAGGCGCCCCCAGACTAGGACTTTAAAATGTCTTCCAATTTCGCCAGGTGTCTCCTGGGGAGCAAAGTTGCCCCTAGCTGAGAACCACCGGGCTTAGCTCCCATGGGGAGCAGTTCTCTGTTGAGACCCTTTCAACAATTGCCCCCTCAAACACACACACACTCGTTTTCTTAAAAAACGGTATCAGGGAAGGGAAGCCCCTGAGCTAAAACCCCCGCCCCAGGATCCCTGTGGGGAAAGATGAGACACGCCCCCACCCCCAACCCTGCCAAGGCAAGGGGATTGTCAGACAAATAAAAAGTTCCAGGACTGACTCTACCCCTCCACCTTCACCACTCCCCCCACCCTTATCCCCACCCCACCCCAGATCCTGCTTGGTACACCTGGCTTGCAATCAGCTCCCAAGAGAATGGGCCCCTGGCAGGAAAATTCTGGCCCTGGGCCACCCACCTCCAGCTACTCCTCAAGCCTGATAGAGTAGGAATCTCCGAAACAGAAGTAGGACACTGGATCATGTTGGAGGCACTGAGAGAGGAGGCTGCTGCAGGCTCGCCCACCTCCCTCTACCCTCCCTCACAGGGCCCCCTGGCTCCCACTTCCTCCTTTCTTTCTCCTTAGTGGGGTTGTCATGGGAGTTTCTCCTCCCCTGCATCCCACCTTCTGGCTTGCTGGGGTTGCTCCAGCATGCCCCAGGGGCAGGCGCTGCCTTGTGCAAATGCCAGGTGGCCTGGGCAGGTCCCCTCCCTCCTCCATGAGGGGCTTGACGGTACCCTCCTGTGAGGCCCCTTCCCACTGGGCTTTGCTGCTCCCGGGCCTTCCACATCCCCACTCTCAAGATGGACACGTGAAAAACAGTGGCTCCCGCCTGTGGTCCCAGTGGCCAAGAAGCAGGGGTTGTCCTGGATTAGACTGCTGGGCCCTTCTGGGCTGTGGAACTCCTTTGCAGTGGCCTTGGGCAAGTCACCTACCTTCTTGTCTGTTTCTTTTTTTTTTTTTTTTTTTTTTAAAGATTTTATTTATTTATTTGTCAGAGAGAGAGAGGGAGAGAGAGCAAGCACAGGCAGACAGAATGGCAGGCAGAGGCAGAGGGAGAAGCAGGCTCCCTGCTGAGCAAGGAGCCCGATGTGGGACTCGATCCCAGGACGCTGGGATCATGACCCGAGCCGAAGGCAGCTGCTTAACCAACTGAGCCACCCAGGCGTCCCTTCTTGTCTGTTTCTTCACTGATAAAAGAGGCTGATACTAGAACCTGCCTCCTAGGCGATCTCTAGTTTCGCTTGGCACACACTCAGCCATACAGGAAACAGCAGAAAGGATGAGAACTGGCAGCTGCTTTGTGCTTTTTTTTGCCTGTTTGAGCAGGCGGGGAGCTGGGTATGGCCTGAGGGCCAACTGGCCTGATCTCTCCAGACACCTGAGACCCACGAAAGAGAGTAGCCAAACCGAAAGCCACACTGCTGTCTAGGCTGGTCAGATGGCACCTGGCTTGCCTTTAGGGCCGTATTTTTTATTTTGCTCTAAGTTGATCTGAGAGAGACAGGAAGTGGATCAGATATTAGGGCCTCCCAGAAACCTGTTCCTACAAAGGTATGGCCTCTGAGAGGCAGTGAGGTGATACACAGTTATTTGGAGGTCTGAAGGTTGAGATCAGGGATGGGGGGACATTAGCAAGCGGGGATGAGCTGGTGGGTTTTGAGTCCATGCGTGTAGCTCATGACATGTGATGAAAATGTTTGGAGGGATTCTTCCCCCCACCCCACTCCTGTTTGAGGAGGTTGTCTAGCCAGCCAGGAAGGAGGTCAGGGAAAGCTCTGAGAAGCAAGCTGGGACAGTCTCACATCCTCAGCCCCGTGCAGAGCTGGTCCGACTGTCCTGGTGTGTTCTGGGATCACGGTGAACAGGAAGATCTAGAACTGCTCAGACGCAGAAATCCGTGACTCAAAAAAGGAGAATCTCAGTCACCACACTCTTCTTCCCTTTCCTGATGTTCAGCTGGGTCTCCCAAAAGGAACAGAAAAGAATACGAGTAGAGGGTATTTGGCACGGCAGGCCTAACATTTGAGACTGCCTGATGGTGAACGCTGTGGAATGTCCATGACTTTGTTCTTTGCTTTCGGTCATAAACACACTAATCCTTGTACAGCTATGAATGCCTTAATTCTTTGTGGGGGGAAAAAAATGACCCTCCAGAGCTAGGGGCATAGACATGCAACAGCTGCTTCTTAGGCAAAAATTATGTTATTGTGTTACTTGCCAAGTCAGTGATGGAGATTTCCAGTGGTATCCACTCCACAGCACCCCCTAACGGGCCCCCACAGCTGCCCATCTTGCAGTCCCAGTACAGGAGGCAGAAGAGCACCCAGAGAGAGGAGGAGAGTGGTGGGGGGGCACGATCTCAGCCAAAGACCCGCCCCTCACAGCGGGAGAGGATGAAGGAGCCTGGAGCCCTCAGTCTGGGCCCTGCTCACCCCTTCCCTGGGTGGCCCCCGAGGCCCCTCCCACCCTCCCCCCTCTCTTCCCACACCTCCTGGATGACATTTGATTGGGACCAAGAACAAACCAAACCCGAGTTTGAGGTTTGGGTGGGATGGTTGGTTTGGTTTGGTTTCCTCAGAGGGAGGCACATGAGGGTTGTGGTGGCTGGGAAGGAACTCGCGTCCAGCTGTCTGTAGGCAGGAGAGAATGGGCCAAGGATGGAGAAGGGAAGGAGGGAGAGGGCTGCCTGAGGAGGACAGGAGCAGGGGAGCCCTGCTGCTGGTGGGCTCACATCAGCCACTGGAGTGGTGTGGAGGAGCTTTGCCAAGGGCATGTCAAGGTGAAGCTGTGGATTGTGGATTTTTCCCTGCCCCTAAAATAAGTTTCTTCCTTGCTCGGCCACATCTAGATGTCACGGGCCTGAGCATTAGAGAATGATTGCTCTCCCCACACCAGCTTTCTGCATAAAAGAATAGTAACAACACCCAAAGCTCTCATTGGTTCTTTGCTGTGTGTATATCTTTCCGTTGTGTGCTGGAAGGCAGGTGGCTGTGACCCAGAGGAGGGGTTGCTGTCACGCAAGGGCTGAGAAGGAATGGGTCCCAGTGACCCAAGCAGGGGACACCCAGTGTCTAAGGAGCAGTGTCTGAAATTCCTGGAGGAACTGCACCGCCTGTGCCTTCCAGAGGGGGAAGCATAACCAGAACATGGACTGAACGCTGATCTGGAAATTGCCGTGCAGAGTGGCTGGCACTGGGCAGAGCCCGGCTCTCAGGCAAAGCTGGTGTAACAAAGGACATGGCTTGAGCCAGACGGGCCTCGGCTAGTGTGACCTCAAATAAGGCACATAACCTTTTGGAAGTTCGTTTTCCCATCCATAAAATATTAGGGGAGATAGTTAATTGCTCACGAGTGTGGGGAGGATTCTGTGACATGACATATGCAAAGTTGCTGGAATGAAGGACTCTCAGTAAATGTTTAGCAACCTAAGGGAATTTGAATAGAAAGAAAACAATTTTGGGGAGAGGAGTTGGTCAAGGCTCCTTTTCAGGCTCTCTCTCCATCTTATTTATTTTTTATTTTTTAAAGATTTTATTTATTTATTTGACAGACAGAGATCAGAAGTAGGCAGAGAACCAGGCAGAGCGAGAGAGGAGGAAACAGGCTCCCTGCTGAGCGGAGAGACTGATGTGGGGCTCGATCCCAGGACCTTGAGATCATGACTTGAGCTGAAGGCAGAGGCTTTAACCCACTGAACCACCCAGAACCACCCAGAACCACCTCTCTCCCCATCTTAAACCAGGCTAGCCTCCTTCTGGCCCTTGGCCCCCGGTTCTCCTTCACTTGATTTAGAGGTGAGATGAAGCAGGATCTGTGCCCAATGAGGGAGGAGAAAAACGGCCTGCTCCCTTCTGCTGAACTCTGAACACTTTTCTCTTTGCTCCTGGAAAGAGAGAGACAGAGATTAGAAAAATAACAGGCGGTAACCGAGAGCGCCCCCAATGGTCCGGCCCAGTACTACCCCCTTTGCTCGCTGGATCGGCTTTAATCCCGGCAACAGGATGAAGTCGGTTATAACCGTTCCTACTTCTCCCTTACAGAATGAGACCCTGAGAATCCAAAGCAGAGCAACCTGCTCCAGACCCCACACTGCCCCCCAATAGGATGCTGAAGGAAGAGGAGGGAGGGGTAGGAGAGATTCTGCAGGACTCCTTGCTCGTTCTAGGTGGAAAAAGCAGGATTCAAGATCAAGGTGCGGCGCCTGGGTGGCCCAGTCCATTAAACATCTGCTTTCCGGTCAGGTCATGACCCTGGCGTCCTGGGATTGAGTCCCGCATCGGGATCCCTCCCTCTCCCCCTGCTTGTGCTCTCTCTGTCAAATAAGTAAATAAATACAATATTAAAAACAAAAGAAGATCAAGAAAAGTCAACTCTGGCTCTCTCCTCCCATCGGCACCTTCCCTGACTTGAGGCCAGGCAGTATCTCCTACCCCAGGCCTCATTTTCTTTTTCTTTTTCTTTTCTTTCTTTTTTTTTTTTTTTTAGATTTTTCTTTTTTTTTTGACAGGCAGGAATCACAAGTTGGGGGAGGGGGAGTATAGGGGGAGCCCCGCATCTGGCTCTCTGCTCAGCAGGGAGCCTGCTGCGGGGCTCGATCCCAGGACTCTGGTATCATGACCTGAGCCGAAAGCAGAGGCTTTAACCCACTGAGCCACCCAGGTGCCCCCGGCCTCATTTTCCACCATGGAGAGGAGCCGAGGACAGACCGGGAGGGCTGGGGCCATGGTTGGAGCAGTCAGTGTCAGGAACTGGGAGAAGAGGGACCACAGAGAGGGATTCCCACGCTCCAGGGCATGGCCCCCACTGTGGAGGCTTGCCCGACCTCTGGAGCTGGAGCTGGAAAACCAGGGCTTGGGATGGACCAGAGGTAGCATCAGCTGGGAAAGCTCCAGGGAACCAGCAGAGGCAGGGCCACACAGAGAAGGAGGGACCCTGCCTCATGGCGACAGAGCCATTGACTGGCCCAGGGACCGGAGCAGCCATGGGGTTGGGGGCTGTGACAGGCAGGCAGGGATGGGAACTTGCAAAGCACTGGCCCCACATCACTCATCAGAGTCTGAGCCAATGAACTGAGGCAGGGAATTTTTCTAAAACAAGTTAGTGTCTAGAACTCAAAGATGATGGAGCAGATGGAGTGGCGGCCACTACTAAGGAACTCGCCAGCCTCCTCTCTGGTTTGTCCACCGGACATGTGCCTGGCAGTTTGGAAGGCACAACATCCAAGGCGACAGGCCTGCTGCGCGCACCGGGTTGGGGGAGGCATCCAGCTGGGCTCTCAGTCGTTCTCTGCTTGCCATTTGCTCTACTTTGCCAGTTTGCCTTCGTGACGCCCCAGAACTCCAGTTCTAATTAACCTGGAAGAAGCCAAGTCTTTGATCTTAGTACCTGAAAAGGTATTAAATGATGTTTCAATAAGCAAAGCAGTAATTTAAATGCTTGTACTTTTGGGGCACCTGGGGGACTCAGTGGGTTGAATGTCTGTCTCTCGATTTAGATTCAGGTCCTGATCTCAGGGTCATGGGGTCAAGCCCAGCAACCGACTCCAAGCTCAGTGCAGAATCCGCTTGAGACACACACTCTCTCTCTCTCTCTCTCCCCACCCCTGCCCCTCCCCCACTCACTTCCTATCTCCCTCTACAATAAATAAAATCCTTAAAGATTATAAAATCCTTAGAGATATTTATTTATTTATTTATTTATTTATTTGACAAAGAGAGAGCAGAGCAAGAGAGAGAATGAGAGCATGAGTGGGGGGTGAGGGGCAGAGGGAGTGGGATGAGCAGACTCCCGGCTGATCCCAGGACCCCAAGATCACCACCTGAGCCAAAGAAAGACGCTCAACTGACTGAGCCACCCAGGAGCTCCAGTAAATAAAATCTTTAAAAATAAATAAATAAGTGTTTATACTTTTTTAAAAAAGATTTTATTTATTTATTTGACAGAGAGAGAGACTCCAAGAGAAGGAACACAAATGGGGAGTGGGAGAGGGAGAAGCAGACTCCGGGTTCAGCAGGGAGCCCGGTGTAGGGCTGGATCCCACCACCCTAAGATCACGACCTGAGCCAAAGGCAGACTGTTAACAACTGAGCCACCCAGGCACCCCAATACCTTTTTTTTTTTTTTTTAAATGCTTGTACCTTGCAAATTCGTATTCTGAAAGTTTATTTTGTTTAGTTGAAATGGGTATGGCATGATGGAGTTTTTAGGAAGCTTTAACAAGCCGGAAAAAAGTTTCAGAGATCTCACAGAATGAGCAAAACCCTTAGCTAAGAAGGAAACTATTTTCCTGTGACTTTCCTGTAACTGATCTAAATCAGTCCCTCAAATCTTGGGTCCCCAGTCCACAGGGACTGCCTAGACAGTATCTAATGTTCCCCGTGCCCTGCAACCCTTTCTTTTCTTCTCTCTCCTGCACCCCCCTTTCAAGGATATAGGCTAAACCTCTATCTCCCCTCCCTACCCTTGCGTGAGCTTTAGACCCTTCCTTCTAGCCGCCGCCCCCCCCCCGCCCCCCCCCCCCCCAGAGCTAAAAGAAGAGTGACTTTCTCTGGTAGAGAGAGGAGCCTGGAGTCTCCCCCCCGCCCGCCCCCCAGGCCCATAAATCACCACTGTCATCTCGGTCTCCCTTACATTAGGGAACTCCTAGGCTCAAAAACCCGGCGTGGCCCCCCATTGTCCTCAGCATAAAAAGCCCACAGCACTTGGCGTGTACTTCTGATTTGGCAGTCCTAACTCAGGCGATCTGTGTTCCTTGGTTGTTTGAGTGGGGGCAGTGGACACTATAAAGTCACTGCCCACCCCCCCGGGACCTTTTCCTGACTCCCCTCCCGGAGCGGCTCCGGCGCCGGTGCGCCCCGCCTTCGGGACCCCCGGGGCTTCATTGCCTGGATCGCGGTCGTCTGCGCCCCCGCCGGACTGCAAGCTGCAAGGGGCGAGGGTGGCGGCTGCCTCGTTGTCTGGGGTGGCGCGGACCCGGCGCCGCGCCTGACCCGTTGTAGGTGCCCCACGGACGCGTTGGGCGACCGGAGCGAACGGAGGTGGGGGTGCAGGCAGGGTCGCCGCCTCTTCCGTGCCTGCGGACGAGGGTCTGAGCCGCGGGCGAGCGCAGCGCGCGGATAGCTGCCCGGCGGAGACGGAGAACGCCGCGCCGCTGGGTCTCCAGCAAAGAAAGGGTTAAGCCGCCAGCGCCCCCCCCCACCCCCCGCCCACCCCCTCAAAGGCAAGGGGAAGAGTCCGGCAGAAGGTCCTGTTTACGGGAGCCGCTCGAGTCCGCGCAGCCCTGGGAGAGGCGTTGCCGTGGCAACGGGCCGGGCGCCCGCCAGCTGCGGATGAGCTCACTGGAGCGGCGGCGGGCGGGGGGCGGCGACGGGGCGCGCGGCCCGGCGGAGAGGACGCGGCAGCCGGCCGAGCCCGCCCTCCACTCGCCCACCGCGGCGGCCGGGCGGCGGGCACGCGAGCAGAGGGCGCGCGGCTCTCCGGGCGCCGGGAGAGGCCCGGCCGACTGCAGGGCGGAGGGCCGCGGGCCATGGCGCCCCGGGCCCCCGCCTCCCGCCGCCCCCGCCCGCCCGGGCGCCCCCGAGCTGCGCCTCGGAGACCGCGGAGCGGCGGCCCGCCGGGAGGTAGGGCCGAGCCGGGGGAAGCGAGGAGGGGACGAGGGGCTGGGGGTGGGGGCGCCGCGGAGGGGTACGCGCCTGGGGGAGGGGAGGCGGCGGTGGGAGCTGCCCCCGGCCGGAGAGGGGAAGTGGCTCTTTGCAGACCCACGGCCGGGGCTCCCGTGTGCGGACGTGGGGACCGAGGCGCTTCGGCCCGACCTGTGGGACTTGAGCAAAGTACTGGCCGGACGGCCTCCGGGGGCTCGGGACGACTTTCAGGGCCGAGTGGGGAAGCCGTTGTCCCGCGCCTCGGAAACCTGCAGAAACTGGGCAGAGCCGGCTCTCTGCCGGGCTGGGTCCCAGGGGCGAGAGTGTGAGAGTGAGTGTGTGTGTGTGGGTGTGTAGAGAAAGAGTCGAGTGGGGCTGAGGGGGCCGAGCAGCTAGACACCCCCCTCCCCGCTGTGGTCAGAATGTGCAGTCTTGGGAAAGCAGGATGGTGAAGATGATTGAATGATCCTGTTTCTCCCACTTTTCCCCTAAGGATGGAGTTGGGAGCAGATGGAGCCCAGGGGGCGACTCTTAACAACAGGAGATAGAATCAAGTTTGGGAGGGATCCCAGAGAGCTGGGTTCGAACCCCTGAGGAGAGCCAGACCTCAGCGGTGGAGTCCTTTCCCGGAGGGGACGCGGGGCGGACGCGGGGCGGACGCGGGGCGGACGCGGGGCTGTGCACTCCGGGGCTTGGCCGGGGCGAGGGAAGAGCGGTGACTGCTCTCATCAGCCAGGGCTGGGGAAGGAGCCGGCGGATCTTGAGCCGGTGTGCTAGTGCTTCAGGGGTGTGACTTCTCTAACGCTCCCAAGGACCCAGGTAATAATGGCCCCAGGGCGGTAGGCTAATAAGGGGCTCCCTACCATAACTTTGTTACTCAACTCTTGCACCCTTGGTTACAACTTAACAAAATCCTTTCTGCTTGCATCATCACAGTGTTGAACACAGCAGAGGCGTGGAGTAGAAAGTCTTTGGGGTGGGCTGCTTTGGTGGAGCCAAATTCTGTGAGAAGTAAAGGCAATCAGTAACTGGTTTTGACGACCAGTAGTGAAAAGTCTGGAGGAGGAGCATGGCCTTCAGGTCCTTTTATTGGAACGATTGGAAGCCTCCCTAGGTTGTGTAATCATTCACTTAAAAGCTATGTGTTAGGCATTGGGAACAAACACAGCAATGAATAAGATATATCTCTCTTTCTTCCAGAACCAGCCATCCTGCTTGAGTAGTCAAAAAATTAAAAGCAGGGGCACCTGGCCAGCTCAGTCCGTAGAACATGGGATTCTTGATCTTGGGGTTGTGAGTTCAAGCCCCACACTGGCTACAGAGATTACTTAAAAAAAAAAAAAATTCAAACCAGTCCTAGGCTGGCCTAGCTGAGTGCTAACATGCTAGGGGAGCCCAAAGCAAGGCCACCCAACTCGGGAGAGGCCCACAGACGAGGTGATGCTGGGACTGAACCCTGAAAACTTCTTCACTGGGAGGACAAAGCAGGGAAGGTGGTTCCAGCCTGAGGGAACAGAAATCACAAAATGACCAAGAGGGAACAGGGGTGGGGAGGGGAGGTGTAAGTGTGGGGAGAACTCACAGTGTGCCGCCAGAGGGAAGGCGGATCTCACTGAAGCTGGAGTGATAGGTTCCGCCTGATGTCCTAGAAAGCCTGTTCTGGTTGTTGGGTGGGGGCCTGGAGGATGTGACCAAGGTCACGCAGCACCCAGGCCTGGCGTTACTGACGCACAGACAATTGGCGATGCTGAGGTAGGATGGAAGGATCCCAGAGATAAAGAGGTAGGACCCGGTGACAGGCTCTGGTGCAGATGAGGTAACATAGACCGAAACTAAGGGCCCCAAAACTCAGGAGAAGACAAAGCAGAGCCAAAGGAATGGATATTTTGAGTGGCCCGAGTTTAGCAGATTACAACACTTGGACAATGAATTTGGCTCTACATTTTCTGGCAGTTTAGAGACAAACAAAAATACACTGACTTGCGCAGTTTTGGATTTTGGACAACAGAAAGCTTACAGATTATTTTTCAGAACACAATTTTTCCTGGAATTAACTCAGCAGGGAATTTGTCATGAGGAACTTGGTGTAAAGACTAAAGAGTGACATAGAAAAAAAAATCTTCATTGTTGGTGTTACAAAAGATTGGGAAGATAAAATTCCACTCGACTGTCTTCCTATACCGCCTTCCTGTTATGGCTTGGGAGTTTACTGCCTCTCTGCGGGCTGCTGAGTGTGGCTCAGGCTTATGGGCCTTGGCAGCGCAGGCAGCTGGAGCCAGGGGAATTCTGCGTGGAGGAGCCCATTTTCTCAAGTGGAGGAAGAGGGGACACCAGCTTCGATGGATGGAGAGCGCAGAGGACGCGCTGGGTGCCCATCTTGATGGGAAGGAAGCAAGTCATAGCGTGGTCCACTGCCCACTGGGCTAGACTCTCTCTGGTCTGGTGAAGGGTCTGGTAGGACAGTGTGCATCCGGAAATCCTGACCAAAGGAAAATGGGGAGTGAGAGCAGCATTTGAGGATTCCATTCCGATGGACAAAGCACTTCCCCCACCGTGGTCTGGGTCTTTGTACCCTCAGACCTGCTACCGCTCAGCAGGAGGGGACGGGTGGGACTCAGGAGACCGGAGATTCACTCCAGTGCGAGTGCGGCCAGGGAGGGTGGGAATCTTGTTTGCTGCAACACAAGGAATGTCACAGAAGAGCAGGGGTTGTAAGCCAAGCTGGGGCGGACCTTCTGCGGACTCAGTCCCCAGTCTCCCAGCGGGCCGGGCCCTTCCCTTTGCTTTCTGCAGAAGGGACGGAACCTGCAGAATCCATGTCAATGCGTGGCTTCTGTTGAAACCATTTCTTGCTCATTTTAGATGTCCTAAATTAGCATTGAGTAGGTATGAGATTCTACTCCCCCCACCCATCATGTTTCTTAACATTTTAAACTCAGGGTACACTTTAGAACACTTTGATGTCCTGGGTGAGCATTTCTTTAGACAACGGGTGCCTCTACGCCCCACCTCCCCTGTGGATTAAATAAAAATCGCTGAGAATGGACTCTGGGCATCAGGATTTTTGAAAGGCCACAGGTGATTTTAAGGTACAGCCAGAGGTAGGGGCGCCTGGGTGGCTTGGTGGGTTAAGCCTCTGCCTTCCGCTCAGGTCATGATCTCAGGGTCCTGGGATCGAGTCCCATATCAGGCTACCTGCTCAGCAGGGAGTCTGCTTCCGCCTCTCTCTCTCTGCCTGCGTCTCTGCCTATTTGTCAAATAAAGAAAAACAAAATCTTAAAAAAAAAAAGGTACAACCAGAGGTGAGAGGGGCTGCTTTAACAGTCATATAAAGGATTCCTCACAGCGGGGGACAGAAACTTCAGATTCCAAAAGCAAGGACCCCATAAATTAAAATTAGGAAGCCTGTTACTCATTATGAAATCAAATGGTTGATCAGCCTTCAACATCAGGATTTAAAGTCAGCTTGAACAGATACAGATAAGAAGGCTAGTGGCAGACGCATTCATGTGAAGCTTCATGTTGTATGTGAAGTATTTTTAAAAAATAGAAATTCTAAAAGCATAATCACACGGCTTATGCAGTTAGATCTGTCTAATCCTATTGTATGCAGTGCCCAAACTGAAAAGCTTTGGCACCTTTCTCTTTTTGGCTGGAACCCACTTAAGTGTACTTTTCTTGAGTGCTGAGCTTCTGAGTTCTGGATTCTTTCTACTTGCCTCCTGATAGTCAAGTGTATTTGTTTTCTGACCCATGTCTTCTGGATTGGAAAAAAGCTGGGAGAATTAGTTTGCAATTGAACGTCCATAAAGTGACAATCAAAAGGAATGAATCTCTAAGGGTTGAATTCTGTACCTCTGACAGGATAATAGGAAAATTTTGAGGCTTGATGACTTTCCCAACAACACTCAAATACACCTTGCAGGCATTAATTTCTTTGGCTGTGGGCAAAGTTGACTCAGCTTCCTTTACTCTCTCTGGAACCGCAGCCCCTTCTTTTTTGCTTCCTGAGGGCTCATGGAATGTCTCACAGGTACTCATGAGTGACCAAGGTTATGTCATGCCCAGTCTCCCGTGTCCAGGCATGGACCCTTCTTCCTCTACAGAGCCAGATGGCCTCCACAGCTACCCCAGCCTCTCATTTTTTTTTTTTAAGATTTTATTTATTTGTCAGAGAGAGAAACCTAGCAGGGGGAGTGGCAGGTAGAGAGAGAAATAGACTTCCTGCCAAGCAAGGAGCCTGAAGTGGGACTTGATCCCAGGACCCAGGGATCATGACCTAAGCTGAAGGTCAATGCTTAACCAACTGAGCCACCCAGGCGCCCCACCCCAGGCCCTCTTTAACTCCCTGACATTGGCTACCCAACAGAAGGATTGACAGGCACATCTGCCCCTTTAATTATAGGAGGCAAGTCAGTGCCTGGAACTGAGGCGAGTGATTACCTCAGTTTTCTACATTTGATGTCCAAAGACAGAATATGTTGGGAAGCCAGAGTCAGACCATCTTTTACACTTGTGTTAAGACCATCGTATGATCTGAGCAAAAATGTCGACTCTCAGCTTGTCTAGAAGTTAAGCCCTTTGCCATCTGTAGCCCAGAGGGTCTTTGCCTTTGGCTTCCTTTTGACACATCCATCCTCAGCCCGCAGTTGGCTGGAAGAGAGGTGAGCCCCAGAGCCCCCACCCTGTCTAATAGGCTCAACTGCCAAAAACTGTGATCTTTTTCCCCCTGGCCTTAGGGAAGGAAGGGGTGAGTCACCTTCGTGGCAAGCTCAGGGAAGAGGTTAGCTTCCCTCAGTAGTGGGGAACCAAGAGGTTCCATGCTCCCCTTCGGAAGGAAATGAGAGCAGGATCGAGCTGGAGAGTGGGGTCAGGACAGGAGACTGTGACCGTGACCATCCTTCCATGGTACCCAGGGCTGCGTGTCTTATCAGTAGGGCTCGGCAGACCAGTTCAAGCACAGCATCAAATACATTTCCTTTGGTGGTTTTGTGGTCCTAGAAAGTGTACTTTAAAATTACAAGATTGCTTTTATATAGATCCTTGTATATATACATATATCTTTCTGTGTAAACTGTGGAAGTTCTGCTTGTTGGAAAACATTTAAGCAATCCGTAAAAAGAACAAAACAAAAATGAAAGTTTATCCTATACTATCTCCCTCCTTGGAGGCAATCACTGTTTGGTATATATCCCAAATCCTCCTTGACTTTCCTTTCCTTTGCATGTAATGTTTGCTTACAGAAATGGATGCATGCTGTCACAACTGACAGAATAATTCCACACGGGACATACATAGTCCCGTCCTTCCCCGCCCTGCCACCTAGAGTTCTTCTGTTGGATGGCCTTCATTTGTTTAACACATTATCTATTTATGAGGCCTGGGTTATTTTCTGAGTTTAGCTACTACAAACAGTCTCTGGCACTTGTTCCAGTATTTCTATAAGATAAATTCCTAGAGGCGTAATTGCTAGATTAAAATAGATTTCAAAGCCACATGCATATTGAATATCTTTGGGCTTGGTGATGGACATTTCAAATATGAGATTCCAGTGCTCTGTCTTAAAAAAAAAGTAAAATATATTCCCTCCCTCTCCCTTAATCCAAGTGTTCCCACCCCACTGAATTTACTATGAGTTTCTATTTTAGTTACTCTGAAACTTAAAATTCACAATGTGGTACATTCATAAAGAGAAACTACTCTTTGAGTTTTATCAAATTAAAATAGGCAACATATTAAATTTTAATTTCTAAGAGGATTTTTATGTTTTATGGGTTGTTATCCAACGAACTGACTTAATTTTGTCTCTGGCTGCTGGTTTGTGTTCCTGTAACCTTGATCCCACGTAACCACCATTCCACATATTGTGTAGGCGGAAACGTGGGATGGGTGGGGTGGGTTACACACAGGAGTCAACCCAGTGCAGTAATCCACGGTGCCTTCCCCTTTCTCCCTCGTGCTTCCTCGCTTCTCAGAAAGGAAGATGTCATAGGGTTGCATTTGACTTAGCACCGGGTTCTCTGCAAATCCACTGTGGGTCATGGATAGGGCAACCATATATACAAACTGAGACACTTTGAAAGTAAAAAGGGACTAAGATAAGTTGTTAATTGGCCTACAACAGGCCTACCCTGGGACTGTCCAAGTGCAGTTGCATCTTGTCGCTGCCCTGGGACAGGGTGAGAGCTGCCCATGTCTGTCCTTTCTCCCTGCTCGTCCCAGTGTATTGACATAAGCAGACATGAGTGTCTACCATCCTCTGCCCACCCGCCCAACCTTGTTTAGCCCCCCTAGAATAGAGCCTAAAACCAGGGAAGGAGGAGGGGTCAGGTGCTACATGTGAACTTTTCCTTCCCACTAAAAGAGTCAGAGGAGGGGCACCTGGGTGGCTCAGTGGGTTAAGCATCTGCCTTCCACTCGGTCATGATCTCAGCGACCTGGGATCAAGCCCTGCGTCAGGCTCTCTGCTCTGTGGTGAGTCTGCTTCTCCCTCTTCCTCTCCTTCTGTGATCTCTCTCGCTCTCACTCCCTCTCAAATAGATAAATAAAATCTTTAAAAAAAGAGAGAGAGAGAGGAGATGGATACTATTGTCCCTGCCAACCCCCAGTTCACCCTGAGAAAAATAATAACTTGTCTTTTTTCAGCAAATTAGAACCACTGAAGCAGGACACTTCTGTAATTTTATGTGCTTTTCATGTCTCTGGGATTTACAGGCTAAACCACTCCAGATGACCAGACAAAGGCATCTGTA